AGGTTGACAGATAGATAAAAAGGTAAAGCAATATATTCTGTGAGCCACTAGGGTATTGTTCCTGTTGCTGGAAAGTGACGGTAGCAAAATATATGAAAATTGGAAAGTATCAGCTTAATTGGAGAAAAATAGGCACTGAAAAAACGAGGCTTTGCCAAGAAATCATTAAGCTAGTAAATATACAAATAAATTTATTAAATTGTTAGTAGTTATTTGAGAAATGTACTAGCTTTTTAGGACAGAATATTATAAACAATGTCATATATTTACATTAATATTTGTGAAATTCAATGTTTCCTAGGAATACAGATAACTAACCCTAATAGACCTAGATTTTCAGTAATCACCAGTAGCTGAAAAACAAAAATATAGTATCAAAAATTTAATTGTTTTTGGAGAACCTAAGTTTAGGTTTAATATCACAGATAAATGTAGTTAACTTTATTGTAGGAACTAGGTTTCTTAATGTTGGAGAAGTGCGGTATTGATAAGCAAGAAGGCAGATTAGAATAAACGCTGTAGTACTGACTATGCGTTGTGGACATCAGTAACAACTCATTTTTCACTTAATATATGTATAGGTGGATAGAGAAACAATTATAGGTATGTACACCAACAGGGGTTATATATGTATAACCAAGCACTATCCTATGTGAGAGTCTGGAAGCAATGAAAACTCAGCAACAGTTATCAAGCCCATTGCCAGATCTTGGTTTTTAAATAGTATTCTGCGATGAAAAGAATCAGGACTCCTTACTGAAAAGGTTCTTACTAAGGCTAAGGCAAGGAATATAAAAGATAACATATAAAGAGCTTCCTGTAGTGACAATAAGCATGGAGATGTTCAGAAAACAAAAGGATGGACACATACCAATAGCACCCCATGTCCAAAGCTGGACCAATTTGAACAGTGTAATAAATAACGAATAACATAACAAAAGACTATAACCCAAAGTGCAAAATAAACCTAAATTGCCAGCAATCATAGACTGCATAAAGAAAATATGATACATATACACCGTGGAATACTATGCAGCCAAAAAAAAGAACAAGATCATGTCCTTAGCAGGAACATGGATGGAGTTGGAGGCCATGATCCTTAGCAAACTAATACAGGAAAGGTAAAGCAAACACTGCATGTTCTTACCTATAAGTAAGAATTAAGTGATGAGAGCACATAGACACAGAGAAAGGAACATCTCACACTGGAGCCTTTCAGAGGGTAGAGGATGTGAGAAAAGAGACAATCAGGAAAAAATAACTAATGGGTAGTAGACTTAATACCTGGGTGAGAAAATGATCTGTACAACAAACCCCCGTGACTCAGGTTTATCTGTGTAACAAACCTCCACGTGTATCCCTGTACTTCAAGTAATCATTAGAAAATAAGATAATAATATAAATACATAAATATACATGAGCCCATATTGATTTAAATTAATGACTAAATTTTTTTTAAGTGGGAGAGAAGAGACAATGCTTCAATACAAAAATATCAAATAATTTATGTAGATACTCTCCCCTCCTGGAGAGCAGAAAATACTTAATGACTCACTTCCAAGGAAAAGACTATGGGGGAAAAAAAGGCAGTTAATTTAGAGTGGATAAAACTTGCAAAAACACTTTAACCACATGATGAAGGTTAATGTTACCAGTGATGTCAGGGGATATCACAGATGTGATGAGAAGAGCATTTCACCTGTATGGCACTCTTTCTAAAAATCCATAACCCCAGTCTAATCCTGAGAAAAGTATCAGGCAAATCCCAATTGAGAGACATTCTACAAATGCCTGTCCAGTACTCTTTAAGCTGTTGATGTCATATGAAAAACAAAGAAGATGAAACTGTCAAAAAACAAAACAAGAAGCTATGACAACTAAATATAATGAGGTGTCCTGAACTAGATCCTGGCACAGAAAAATACTCTAATGTAAAACTCTAAATAAAGTCTGGCATTTAATTAATAGTGACATACCAGTGTCAGTTTCTTATTTTTGACAAATATACCAGAGTAATCTAAGATGGCAACATTAAGGAAAACTGAAATTGGGTGAAGGGTACAGGGGAACTCTGTAGTTAACTAGAAACATTTATGTAAATACAAATTATTCAAAATGAAATGTTTATTTTAAAAAATATGGGTTAGTTTCCCAGCATCAGATTTCTAATCTAAAGTGCAAATCTGGTCATTTTGCCTCCTTACTTATAACCATTCATTGTTCCTCTGTCTCTATGAGATGAAGACAATACTTCTGAGTGAGACGGTGCAGAGCCATCCCTTGCTTTGCTTTTCAGCTGCATTTCCAGTACTTCCCCTCATATACCCTGAAATCTAGTTTTACCAAACTTTTAGCAGTGTCTAGAAAGACATAACTTTCCTCCACCTGATAATCCATACAAACACATACTCAGTTCATTTTTTTTTTCACTCTATGAGTTCTTCCTGAATTCCCTGAAAGTCAGTTAAACACTCTGTTTTGCTCACATGGCACTCTGCACTTCCCTCTACAGGAGCCTTTATCACATTTTGGGGGGCAACTCATTATTAACAAGAGTTGCCAGTTATGTACCAGAACTGTGTTGAAAGTTTACATATATCCTATCAGAAAAGAAACATTAAGTAAATGTATCCAACGTAATACAGCTAAGAAATTAAGAACCTGTAATCTGAGACCAGTTATTAATTATTATTCTGAAAGTCTGGGGTCTTTCACGTAGAACATAGCACCTTTCTGAATGCTATGGATTCTTGCAGTTTACTTTTCAGCTCCCAGACCCCTCATTACACCTTAAACTCATTAAGTCAGCAGGTTTTAAAAAAGACAGCCTAGTCTCTGAAATCAGATAACTTGAGTTCCATCCTTAGTTCTGGTTTCATCACTTACCAAGAATGTTCCCTTGAGAAAGAATCTAAATCTTTAGCTGGGTTTCCTAACAAATGCAAGGATACCTAAAGTTTATTAAAAATTACACAACACCTGGTACATTAGTGAGCATTCATAAACATTAAGAGTCTTCCAAGAATATCAGGGATTTTGTTTTGTTCACCTTTATATTTCAAACACTAGAAAAATAAACACATAAGGTAGGTGTTTAAAATATTACTATTTGACATAAACATCTATACACATGCATATGGGTACACAATATATATACGATATATTTCTATGTGTCATACAGAGAAAATATATTTGATACATATATTTATAAATATATATTTATATCATACAGATAAACAGAGATTAGGTTTAGAAAGTAAAATAGGGGTTTTAACTACTTGGGAAAATAGGAATTAAAAACAACTGAATTACTGTTTTGGAAAAATATAGTTGTATCAACAGTGGTTATGTTAGTCCAGGTGTTATCATGACAGTTAAGTGGAAAAAACTTGTCCTGCATCTATATCAATGATGCTATTATGTCATATGAAAACTCAAAGCTTTCCATTTGAGAAGAATAAATGTTAAGAATTACCTCTGCATCAGGAAGAGCTCCCCTAGCAAGTGGTAAGTTTAACAGTTTGGTGGACTTTGAAATTTTAATTTAACTTGAATTTATGTGTCATATTCTATTATCCTTTTAGAAGAGAAATCAGAATGCTATTATTTACAACCTTGTTTTTTAACATTAAAATTTAAAAAAGGGAAAATGCTTCAAATCCCACTTGACTTGCAAGACTAAAACTTCACAAACTGAAATGACAAATGTATTATTTGTAAAATACGGTTACAATTAGTTTTTTTTTTTTTTTTTTAAATAACAATCTGTGGTGAAATGTATCCGGAAAACAGACACATTTTTTAAAAGATTCAATTTTAAAAGTAAAATTGAAAACTTAGGAAACAGAAGAGCACTAGGTTTTAACAGGAATTTTAAAATGTCATCTACAAACTACAAATACAGGTAATTAGTGACACCAAATAAAAAAATATTGAATGAGATAAGGCAATGCATATTTCAAAAAGCCATTGGCAGGAGAGTCCCTTGCAAGAATTCCGCTTAAGCATTCTATTCTCAATTATTACATCAGGCAAACATAGGCATTTGCTCTATCTTTTTAAAAAATTTAATGGTAGACATCAGGTTCCCTAACGTTTAAGGAGAACCTCTCCTTCTAATGACTCTCACACAGTTTACTGGAATCAGGAGATCGTATTTACCAACCAGACCAGGAAATCTCAAACCAGACAGAGGAAATCAGAAACCAGTCACAGCCACCGCAGTGACTGCTTCTGAGTGTGGCACAAGCTCAGTACCGGGCAGCCAGATGAAGGGACAATCTGAAAGGTGACTCTGGAGAGGAAGTGAGATTGTAACCCTAAAACTTTCTAGGATAATTCATTTTCACTTCTACCCAGTCAAAACTATTGACATCATCAATGAAATGCTTAAGTCTACCTGGAGGTGGCGCGGAGCGGAGTGAGCATTCCAGAGTCCCGGACGAGAGGAGACGTGCACGAAAAACACTCTTTTCCTGTCAGACACCTGTGCCCACCGCCCCAAGCCCTGCCTTTCTGGCCCTTCCTCAGCCTTTGTGCCGTGTCCCTCCTGCTCCTGCAGTGGGCCACGGCACCGAGGGACAGAGTCCTCCGGAACGCGCGACTGGGGGAAAGCCACCGGCTCTTGAATCACTTTTCCTACTTTGCACTTCACACAGTTCTTACTCCTACCCTGCCTCACGCCTTGCAAACAGAATATTAGAGGCCTCCTTCAATTTTCATTTCTCAGCCTCTCCCTCATCCTGTTCAATACCCTAAACTTTGTGACTTAAAATAACCTTTTACCCCCTCCTCCCCTTCCCAGGACCCTATAACTTCTCTGGCTCTCCTCCCCATGCTTACCTCCTCCAAACTCTCTCCTCCTGGTCCCGGCCTCTTCCGCCCGCCCGGAGCGGCCCTTTGCCCGACCTTTCTCCTCACACCACTCGCTGAGTCCTTTCACCTCATGCGTCCCCCCGTCAGGCTCTCCAGATTCCCGGGCCGTTTGCTGGTGAGGAGTCTTTGCTGCAGCGAGGACCGGAGTTCCCCGCGCGCAGCCCAGTGGCGGAAGAGGGCTGGGCTGAGAGGAAAGCCGGGACTGTAGGAGCGGGAGGCAGCCCGTCCTCCTCGCGAACCTGCAGGGATGCGGCAGGGGCCGGGGAGCATGGGGAGGTACTAACCCCCCGGAGCCCCCGACTGGGGCTTGCAGACCTGGCCAGTGGGCCAATTTTCTGCCTAGCGCAGCCGACAAGCAGAGGTGCCAGGAAAACCAGGAGAGGGGCGCTGGAGGTGCCCATCCCCAGAGTCGGTCCCTCTGCGAACCGAGGAAGAGAGGTGGGAGTCAGCGAGTGGTGAGAAGGGAAAACCTTTCTTCTGACTGGCCCCGGAGCGTCGGGGAGCCTGGGGCGCTCCGGTAAGCGCCCAGCGGAACGGTGAGCGAGAGGGTGTGGAGGGAGTGCGCGTTGGGGCGGAGACGCCGGGAGGGAAGCGGTGCTCCGGGCTGGTGTGGGCTGAGGGGAGATGTCGGCGGGTGCGAGCCGGGGAGCGCGTGCGGCGGCCGCGGCGCCAGTGTTTGTGTGTATGTGAGAAAGCAAGGGGCGAGCGCGAGTGCGAGTGAGGCAAAGACAGAGCGCATGTCTCATCCCTGCGAGCAGCCACTAGACGCTCCACCACCATCTTTTGCATGTGCAACATTTGCAGCCGGACAGAAAACCTCTCCCAGGGCTATGGAGACTGCGGGAAAAATCTGGCGGCTCGCGATGGATTGCTAAGGGGAAATAGTCATAATCTTAAACCACCCCAAACCTCTTTCCTTTTTTTTTTCTTTCTTTTTTATTATTATTATTTTTTTGGTTGATTTTTGATTTTAGCGCCGTCGTCTTCAATGTTTCTCTGAACAGCCTTGAGGAAGAGTGCGAGAGAAAGAGAGAGAGCGCGCGCCAGGGAGAGGAGAAAAGAAGATGAGGATTATTTGCAGACAGATTGTCTTGTTATTTTCTGGATTTTGGGGACTCGCCATGGGAGCCTTTCCGAGCAGCGTGCAAATAGGTAAGGTGTGCTCCGATGGGGTCTGCTTGTGGCTGGTTGTAGCAGATATCCGAAAGTGAGTTAAATGAGTTGCTGATAAGCAATTCAGGGAAACCTTCAGCAGTTCCCTGCCCCTCTCTTACCCTCTTCTTCCTTTCTCTCTTTTCCAGAAAGACTTCTCTTTAGTGTAGATGCCTTTGGAATACACCCAGGGCAGCCCACCTATCCGTTCTCAGCCCATAACCCTATTTCCACCTTTGGCTATGGCCGCTTAAGTAGGTTTGAAATAAGTTGGGGGAAAACCTTTGGGGAATTTGGTTGCATTTTATATGATATTTATTTTCATTCCTTTCTCTAAAGTGTAAAGTGATGTCAAGTTTGTTTAAAAAAGAAAAAAAAAAAAAATCCACTTCTTCCCATGCTGGACGCCGCAGCTTTCTTGCTATTACAGAAAGACACTGTTTGAGGAAAAAGACATGACCACCCGCACTCCCTGCCTTTTCTTGCTACCGGTTAGCAGATTCCAAAGTTAGATCCCTTTCCAGGAAGCTTCTCTCCTTTTATGTTGCTTTCTTCTTGAAGCTTTAGCCCTTATTTCTCTACCTCGACTGTATTTCCAGGGATATCCTCCCTCCTTGGCTTTTCTTGCTATTCTCCTCTACTGTCTTTTAATGGGACGCAGCTATTGAATTTCTTCCAGCTAAGCCCAGCCTCAACACTGCATCATTTCTCGTGGTCTGTGCACAAAACGGAGTTAATTAGGCTGAGTCCATGAGCTGCAGGAAAACAAAGTTCATTTCTCCTTTCTGATTTCCCTCTTCCCTGTGTGGCACTATGTCCCTTTATTACTGTATTTTAATGTAAATCTCTTTTCCGTTCATCTGCATTCATCTTAGAGAGAGATTCCCTGAGCTGGCTGATGTAGCAGTGTGCTGGGAATCCGGGGGGAGGGCAAGGGAGTGAAAGGAACAGACACTAAATGGTCTCAGAGGTCATTGTGATCATAGCACATTGAGACAAGAAAAAGCTGAGCTGCTCCAAAGACTAAATACTAAGCATGCGTCTTAGGGACAAAGGGCAGTTTCCCTAGATGTGGCAGGTATAGCTCTTTAATTGTATATGCTTGTAAATGGCAGTATATTTGACTGTGCTTGAGGTGTGTATAATGTTTACAAGAGGAAACACTGAATGTGCTTTTCCTGCTGTTTTAATAGGTGGTCTCTTCATCCGAAACACAGATCAGGAATACACTGCTTTTCGATTAGCAATTTTTCTTCATAACACCAGCCCCAATGCGTCGGAAGCTCCTTTTAATTTGGTACCTCATGTGGACAACATCGAGACAGCCAACAGTTTTGCTGTAACAAACGCCTGTAAGTAAAACACAAGTTATGAAAGATTAGAAGAGAGTTAAAACCAAGCAATGCAGTCCTCTTCCTCTTTGTTATTATTTCATTTTTTTTTTTTTTAGAAAGAATTTCAATATTCCCACAGTTGCCTGGTTTCAGGACAAATCAGAATTAATAACAAGACTTCAACTCAGGGATATTTAGCTGATTTCTTTTCTTTTCCTTAATTTGTTTTTCTTTTCTTTCTTCTCCTCCCTTTCTTTGCTTCTTCCTGCCTTTCTCTCTCTCTTTTTCCATTACTTGTCTAGATCATTCAAGTTAAATTCTCCTTTAGCATTTCAGTGTTATTCCTATTAGTTGAATGTCAGTTTAGTGAAAATTGTACTCAAGGTTGTTTTTATTTTGTTCCTTTGGTTTTTCTTATTTGCGTTTCACTTCAGTAAGCATAGGTCTTGCTTTTAAAGAAGACACATGCTCTTTTACACTGATGAAGGCCATGGAAGGCTTGCTAATAGTGAGAAAAAGAGGGGAGTGGTGGTGTGGAGGATATATATTTGAGTCGGTTGGTTGACACTGCAGATGATCTGGTGATGTCACTTGAGGCTGCCCTGCCCTTATATTCTGGATTGTAAATGTCTCTTACTATCTTATAATGCATATGTCTTGTGGATATAACTCCATGAATCCTTACCTCGATGCCAAATCATGTTAGGCTCTGATCCACCTGAATTCACCAACCTACCCAGCATTATTTATTATCCCACACAATGAAACTAAACGGGTGACCTCACCTAATGCCATAAGAAAGCGGTTGTACAGTTCCTTTTACACTCATGAGGATACCGTATAACTTAATGTAAAAAAGCAAATACAATCAACTGTGCATATTGGTTTAAAATGCATTGAAACATGATCACTCAATAGCAGTCTTATTGCCTTTTCCTTCTTGAAGGAAGTGCATGTTTCAAATACCTCCTCACATTTATATGCCAATTTACCAGTTCTAAATTTATAAATTAAAATAATGACTATATTTAAGAAGTAAGAATAGTTTCTACATAAAAGTTTGCATGTTTCACAGTTAATAAAATGTTCAAGCTGAATTGTAAAGCCTTTTTATCATATAGAGCTGGATGCATTTTTATTTAAAATTCTTTCACTGCAAGAAAGTGTACTGAACAAAGAAACAAGTGAAATTGAAAACTAAGAATTGTTAAATGTCTGGAGGACATCTGTTTCATCAACTTAAATATTTAAATTTGTATGTGTTGGTTGTTAATTCATCTAACAGATAACATGAGAAATTTTTCTTAATTTTTGGTGTCTCTTGAACTCTTAATTCTTCTGAGAACTTAGTTTCATGAGGAGGTTGAAGCATGTGTCACTTTTGCAAAGTGTATAATTATATATTTTTCAGGAAGGCTATAGTTTCTATGAGTTTACTACTTAATTTTAAAAAATCTCTTGACATATTTGGTGATAAAATCAATATTGCATTAAACCAAAAGGGAGTTATTTTTAATCACAAGTGCACATAAATTAGAACAAGGTTAGTGGACAGTCCGTTTCATAAAATTTCTAAGTTATTAGTTATATGTTCAGAGTGGTATAAGGGATGTCATCATTGCAATTAGTTCTAAAGAATGCATTCTTTTCAATACGTAAATAGTATTTGTTTATTTAAATATTTTTCTCGTATTTCGCCTAAGATTCTGTCAGTAGAAATCTTACTAGCTTTAAAAATAATCTATGATCCAAATACATGTGAAAGTATTTATCAACAGTAATTACTTTTAAGTATTAAGAAAATTTTGAAAGATTTTCTTACAAGTAGCAGATACATGTTTTATTTTGTTTCATTTTTACAAATTAAGACCTTAAATGTTCTAAAGTTTGTATTGCAACTTCCAACAATGTAAACAGAAAGGCTAGTCCTCTTTTACTCCTTTTTGTTTGTTAACCTCATTTGCGATAATGAAATAAAATGTTACTGGTAAAGTATTTGTAAACATGATAACTTATTAGGAAGTTGCATACAGAATTAAAAAATAGAACAAGTATGAAATATACAGTATGCCATTCTTCAACATATAAGAACTGAGAAAACTGACACAAGTAAACTTTAAGTCTGTTTATTTTGAATCCAAGTATAACACAGTATTAGTGATCTAATTTTTTAATAATCACATACAATTAATTTTGTATATGTTTAAATTTAAAAAAAACAAATTGTAAATAAGGAGAAAACATTTTCTATCAGAAAAAAGGAAAATTACTTTGACAAATGAGTATGCTGAACATCCTTAAGGCAAATCTAAGCAGAATTTGAGAAAAATCAATAGTCAGAGAGTGTGGGTCAGGTGATTGGTGTTTGTTGAATGGACTGACCGAGAGCATACAGAGTCGTGATTTTCCAATCTAATTAAAGATAAAATGTAAGCAGTAAATATAAGACAACCTCATCTATCAAGCTCTATGACTTTGAATACAAAAAGGTAAAAATAGGTCTTAAAACTTAATATTCTAGAGAATTAACATGAAACTTATTCCTCACCATAATATGGACTGGATTTTTAAATTTGTCATGTTAGATTAAATATAAAGACACAATATGTGGCTGGTTAAGTTTATTTTAATCATGATTTTTCTACAGTGACTCCTTGTAGAACTGCAGAATCTATTCTGTCTGTGAATAAGGGTGATTAAACAAGGTATGTTTAATTATATTGTAGAATGTATACTCGAAAAAAAAAAAAGACAAAGAATAAAATGTCTTGATTATCTAGGGAACAGATTATTTAATGCTGATTCACCTGCCTCAAAACTAAGTTAGTGCTCTAAGAATACTTCGATAACATAAACTATTCTGTGTATAGAGTTTACATACTCACAAGTTGAAACCTGATAAACATGGTTTTTGGTATAAATCCCATGTTCCTGAGAAGGGAATAACTTTGGCTTATAGTTTATTCAAACTATTCTATTGTTGGAAAGTCACACTTTGATGAATATTAAACTAAAATTATATGAAATACAGATAATATAAAATTATGACCCATTACAATAACAAAAAATGAGTATAATAGCCTTTGTAGTCAAATTTCAAAATCTAATTAAAAGTACACTCTTATTTCGATCTATCCAAAATATGAAGTATGACAGAATGGAAATTTTAAAAATACATTTAATATAGGCAAGTTTATTTAATTAAAATGTCACACTGTTGTATCATAGGTAGATTAAAAAAAACATCTTGACAAACAAAAATGCTAGTTAAATTGGATATGTTCATCACAAAACATTTGAGACAACCCAAAAGCCAGCTGTTTTCTTACATTTTTCCAGTAGTTAATGGATAGAGATATTTTGGTTTGGAGGATATGTTCAATATAATGAAAAGTAATAACCAAAATACTAAATTAGTCCATCTCTAAATTTTCTAAAAGATAAATATATTTTAGTCATTGTGATTATGAGTTTAATTCAGCTACATTAGAAACCCTGTAAAAGAATCAGCCTTTAAAAGGCAGTCCCTGTGCAATATAATCCACAAATATTCAGATTCTGAAATGACTCATTTAAATTTCAGATAGCAATAGGAAGTACTAATAGAATGGATCAAGTACTCATGTATTATCACCTTGGTGAAATGATAATAGAATATTATAGACTGTTTTGACTTTTTAAACTTTGTTAGAAAGGACCAATTGATTAATATTTTTCTGTAAAAAAAAAAAAGGCTGTAAAAATCACAAATAGAATAGATATTATGCCCTAGTAATGATTTTTAAAAAGTTGTTATTCTTTAAGTTAAATATGAATTCTGTGTGGTGGATTTATTTGTGGACTCAAGTATTTAAAATGAGCAGTAATTGTAAAAGTAGCTTGGTATGTAAAATAGAGTTGTTTAGTTTATTTAAATACATTGAAAATGTGACACTAAACTTAGTGGGCTCTGCAGGATTTTCCACTTATCAAGTAGGTACTTAATAAAAATTCACTAAATTTAAGTGTACTAAATAATATAATATTCTGTGTTTAGTTCAACAATGTTTAAATATTTTTGTACGTTTTATCTTACAGGATCATGAAACCCTAAAAAGGCATTCTAAGAGTTTACATTGGGTTAATATAATAATCTTAAACATGCTAAAGATAAAATTCTGATGATTTCAACTGCAAAGTTGTTAGCGAAGAAATGCTAGAATTAAATACTATTAGACTTTTGTCTGTATTTAGGAAAATGAGTGATGTGACTCAACTGTGATTCTCATTAGCTTTTCTTATTTTGAATTGATGGCAAGCTTCTATGTTGATTTTAAAAGTAATTCTTTAGTTATATATTTTTTCTCTCTTAATTTTTCATCATGAGATTGACAAAGATGTGAGTCATAGTCTTATAGTTTTTCTCTTTAAGTGATTGGATGATGCATAATCTGTATATATTTGATGTATTTTAGAGTTGTCATAGGATTAAGCTTTCATAAAGCTGTCAAAAAAACTCTATTTTTCCAATCTGGATTCTTCCAAGTGTTATTTTTTTCTCAAGGAGGAAAAACTTTAGTTCCTGGCATTGGGAAATATAAAATCTTATTTACAGAGTTATGCTATTGTTCCAGATTTTTTAAATGAAGGATAAATAGCAATACACCTTGCACTTTATGACAACACATTTTTCTAAACTTCTTAGGGGGGTGTGTGTATGGATATATGTATAGTTTTATTTGACCTCAAGCTAATCTTACAGTGAGACAGTCTAAGAAGAAAATATGTTCTACTTAAGATAGCTTTGTCACAAAGGAGTCACTTTACTTTCCAAAGACTATCTCTAGTAATAGACTACAAAGCCAGAGTTTGAACCAATTCATATACCTACTATCCTAGTACTTTTACCAGAAGGCCATACAGGTGTAAAAAATATAACATCTATATTGAGCCTTTCTGAATTAAGAAAGAAAAACAAATGCCATTTATCTTTTCTCTAATTTAATTGCAACATTTTAAAGAAAATGGGGCAAGACAAT